GGGATGGAACGTGAGGGAAGTCGTCGTCCTCCCGAGGGCCCGGGCCCGCGGTTGCCAGGGCGGCGTTCCGGCCTTAGTTGCCGCCGCCCCCGTAGTGAACGGCAATGCTGGTGAGCGTAATTGCTGTGGCTGATTTGGTGGGAAAAGTTGCTTTCATTGTCTTGTAATTCCTTACCAAAACAACACCAGGAATAATAAAAATGGGGCGGCTGTGTCTTTGTGATTGTTTATATCAGCAAGTTGCAGTTCAGACAACGCATTCCCGGGTGCAGAGGGTGGTCACACATTAGGAAGCCCTCTTACTGCTAGCAAACGAGGTGGGTAGTTCAATGTAAGAGAAAATCCATCTCTGTAGAGCACATTGAATGCCGTAATTTTTCGGTTTTGAATTCACAGGCACATAGTAGGTGTGGTAGAATAATGGTCCCAAAGATGTCCACCTCCTAATCCCTAGAATCTGTGAATATGCTACTTTACATGGGAAAGGGGGTTTGGCTATGTGATTAAGGGCGTTGAGGTGGGAAAAGGAACCTGGATTACCCAGGTGCGCACAATGTAATTACTAGGGTCCTTCTAAGGGGAGGCAAGAAAGTCAGTAATCAAAGTCAGTAATAGGAGACCTGGCCACAGAAGCAAGAGGTGACTAGTAGCATGGTGACTACATGGTGTACTTGAAAGTTACTAAGAGAGTACATCTTAAAAGTTCTCATCACAGGGGAAAATTTTTTCTAACTATGTGAGGTGATGGATGTTAACTAGACTTAGGATGATGACCATTTCGTAATATACACATATATCATTATGTTGTACACCCTAAGCTTATATAATGTTATATGTCAATTACATAAAACTGGAACAAATTAAAAAAAAATTTTTTTTTAATTAAAGAAAAAGAAGCAGCAAGAGATTGGAGATGTAAGGAGCTGTGAGCCAAAGCAAGCAGGCACCTGTGGGAACTGACAAAGGGAAGCAAGGGATTCTCTGCTGAAGCCTCCAGAAGGAAGACCATGCCAAGGCCTTACTTTTAGACTTTTGAACTCCAGAGCAGTAAGATAATAAATTTGTGTTGTTTTAAACCACTAGGTTTGTAGTAATTTGTTATAGCAGGAATAGGAAATTAATACAACAGGTACTCAATATTTTTTACATGAAAGTGAAAAGAAAGGAACTAAGGGTTAGCCATATCCTAGGGACACTCACTGAGGAACTGGCTCTAGTTTCATTCTTCACAGTGCGTTTTGTACTTGGTTGTAACTGCCAACAAGTACAGAGAATCATTTCTTTGTTCTTTTTGTGGGCTAAAAGGAAGGATTTCACTTGATTCTGCTTGATAAAACTATGCTGTCACCGTTTCCCAGGGATGTTGTCTTACTGTGGTCAAAGCTTATTATACAAAGGAGTTGAATAGACATTTTTCCAAAGAAGTTATATAAGTGGCCAATAAGCACATGAAAAAATGCTCAACATCACTAATCATTAGGGAAATGCAAATTAAAACCATGAGATACTACATACACATTAGGACGGCTAATATAAAAATAAAGAACAAAGTAACAAGGGTTGGCAAAGATGTGAAGAGACTGGAACCCGTGTTCATTGTTATTGGGAATGTAAAATGGTATGGCTGCTGTAACTGGCAGTTCCTCAAAAAATTGAACATGGAGTTACCATATGACCCAGCAATTTCACTTCTGGATATACACCCTAAAGAATTGAAAGCAGTCTCAGAGATATTTGTACAGCCATGTTCATAGTAGCATTAGCCAAAAGGTGGGAAAAACCCAGAAGTCCTTCAGCAAATGAGTGGAAAACAATATGTGGTATATACAAACAATGGAATTTTATTCGGCCTTGAAAGGAATGAAATTATGATACATTGCTACAATATGAATGAACCTTGAAGTCGTGAAAGTCATGTGAAGGTATACACAAAAGGGCAACTATTACATGACAACACTTATGAAGTACTTAAAATAGGCAAGTCATGGGAACAGAAATTAGAATAGAGATTGCCAGAGGCTGAGGGGAGAGGGGAATAGGGAGTTAGTGTTTAGTGGATCAGTTTCCATGTGGGATGATGGGTAGTGGTGATGGCTGTGCAACGCTGTGAATATGCTTAGTGCCACTGAAGTGTGCACTTAAAAATGGTAAAAATAGTAAATTCTGTGTATTATACCTTGATAAAAAATAAAAAGTAAGAGATTATTATATCTCATACTTTAATTTTGGCTCTTTTTCTGGGCTATGGATTTGTAAAGTTTTGCTTTTTCTCTGGTTTTCTTTTCCTGCAGGGAGCACTTCCTCAGTCATCTATATTGAATGAACAAACCAATGAATGTAGGAACTAGATTGTAAATAAGCTCCTTCAGGGCAGAGATTTTATTTGCTTTGTGCCCCTTCATAGTTCTGGTCATATAAGGTCATCAGCTCATAGGTGTAAAAAGTCCCCACATTCACTGAATCTGGACTCTTTCATCAGAAAAGATATAAATATCCCCAAAACCCCTTTTAAAATTGTTTCTCATTTATTTATAAACCTCTTGAAAGAAAATATAGGCTTGGCTATTTCTATAAAGAGCTATTAAAAGCCCTTTCCATATAATCTGGAAGTTTTTTCATCTATACTAAGCTTTTCTTTATGTTATAAGCAAATGTACACCAATGGAAAGTTGTCTTGTTTTTTTTTAAATTTAGGAATCAAGTTTTGAAGGATGAAATCTTTACTGGGTTAAGCTTATAAACCCATTTGAAATTAATTAAGTTCATATTTTTTAGTTTCTATAGGGGTAGTTCAGAATATCTAAATGCTATAATAAATAGAGGAAATTGAGAAAGCTAAATGACTTAGATTCGCAGACAAGGTAACCATTGAATTTGCCTTAACTCCTACAAAGAACAATTAGTAGCTCTCTTCTTGTCGCCATAGAACTTTGTAATGCCTTTATTATTATATGTATTACATTGCTTTATGCTTTCCCCCTCTGTCTTCTTCCTCCCTCCATCCCAAGTAGATTGTGAGCTCTTCAAGGACATAGACCATATTTTATACTATTTTCTAACAAAGCAGCTGGCTAATATTTTTGGACAGAATGAAAGAATGAGCAGAGTCACATACTACCTTCTAGAAGTTTACAGTCTATGTAAAAGCCAGATGAATGCCATTATTATTGTACTGGTTTTGTAAAGACATGATTTGTATAATGTAAAAAGCAGTGTGTGTTGTCCTTTGACATTACATTACTTGTAACTATTGTATTTGAAAGGTAGCATAATAAAGGAGAATCCTATGACCAGTTAGCTGTGTGATTTGGGGCAAGTCATTTAACCTCTCTGTGCCTCATCTGCAAAATGGGATTATAATACTTATCGCTCTTATAGAGTTGTAGTGAGGAACATATGTTGTAAAAATGACTTCCAATAGTTAAAGTTCCTATTCAAATATAGGATATTTTTATAACTGTTTTTTTTTTGTCCACTCAATTATTCTAGATTTATTATCATAGAAGAACATCAGATTTATTTATTCAAAAATATTAAAGGCCTACTCTGTGCAAACCCTTGTTCTGGATTCTGATTAATTCTCTAACACTAATTTTTACTTCCCCAAATTATGTTCTCCTTCTTATAATAAATAAATGAAAAATCAGACACTGACTTAGGTGGTGTATAAAAGCTTTATATATAGTTGTACACTGCATCCCTTGCCCTATCCTTACCCAGGCTCTTTATCTCATAGGTAGATGGAAGCAGATTATGAAGAAATATCAAACCATCCATTCCAGGAACAAGAAATGTGAACTTTAACATTTGAGTGATAAGTCACGAGATGCTGCTGATTTTGGTGAGCGGCCAGATGAGCCACCAGAAACTAATTAGTGTATTCTGTCAAAGTACATTGTACTAGATTGTTACAGTAATGGAATCAATGAATTGCACCTCCCTATATTAAGCCCACGTGATTCCCAGTCAGGGCAC